TTACATACAGAACAGGTTTTACTATATGATAGTATGTATTATCTTAATTAAATACAGGCAAATATATTTTAGATGGCCTTTTAGTTGATGATTTACCATATATAGTATGCGCTTCCATGGGTGCTTCCATTGTTGTGTGACGTCGGACAACTGTCTCTTCATGAAGTTGGGGTCTAGATTTGCACCAAGTTCAAGTAGGAACTCTGAGAGGCGCTCCATTGTACTTTCTCTAGTTGTAGGTCGGAAATTTTTGCGTACCAAGTTGTCTAGAACGAAGCTTTAGCATTGCTATTGTGAGCATGTTAGCATGCTGACATTAGCATTTAGCATGTGCCTGAGTGCAGCCTCACAGAGCTGCTAAATGTGGCTGTAAACTCATTCTAATCTATGTTGGTTTTTACTGGTTATTTCTTATTTTTGTCTTTATAATTTTACACATTGTTGCCATTGGACCAACAGGTTACTCTCTGTAAAAACAGTGAGTTTGAGTAGTTGTTGTTTTACTATAAATGTCCTTGTAGACTATTGACTATAAAGACATATTAGCATTAATACACTGATATTGATTATATTGATGTATGCTATAAAAGAGCTCTCTGAGCTTTTACTCTTGTACTAACATTAACATAAATAAATCTTTTAATAAAATGTAATCCCTTAATACACATCGGTTTTGTAGAAATTTCAGCACAGTTTAAGCTGGGGATTAGCGGACACAGTGTATGAGAATGTCCAGCACAATCCCAGTAACAATATCCTGTATCTTATTGTATACAAGACAACAGTCTCAATTCAAAATCTGTGGAACAGTGCAGTTTTCTTGCCACATCTGGTTGTTTTTGTTGGATTTTAAAGCTTTGTTTTTGTTTTTCTTTGTTACATGCTGCTGGGAAACCACTGTAATTGGGTCAAGAAAACTCAATACTTTCTTTAAGCTGAATGTTATAATAAATTGAAAATTATAAATAAAATTCCTCGGGGTAGTTATTGATAACAAATTAAGCTGGAAACCTCACATAAAGTATATTAAAACCAAAATATCCAAGTCATTAGCAATATTAAATAAAGCCAAAGACCTATTGAATCAGGCTTCTCTAAATATGCTGTACTGCTCCTTCATACTCCCGTAAATGACTTATTGTGTGGAAGTATGGGGGAACACTTACAAAAACAAATACATACCCAATCTTCATCCTACAAAAAAGACCTATTCGAATCATACATAAAAACTACTACTACTACAGAAAACCAACAAACCCATTGTTCATTAAACTCAAAATATTAAATTTCAAAGATTTGATTGACTACAAAACTATTCAAATTGTTTTTAGAGCACACAATAACCAATTGCCTAGAAATATCCAAGAGCTTTTTCAACTACGAGAAAACATGTACAATTTCAGAGGAATATCAATGTTTAGTAAACTGTTAATTCGAACAAATAGTAAGTTCCACTGTATAACAACCCAGGGTGTTATCCTGTGGAACAACAGTAATATTGATTTAAAATTATGTAAAAACTTATTGCAACAGAAATTTCTATTTAAAAAAGAATACTTGATGGATATGAGCTGGAACAGTGATTTTCTTTTTTTTTTATCTTTATTTAGTTGGAATATCTAAGTGATGCAAACAATTTAAGTAGTTAAAACATATCATTGAATTCGGGGTAGGACAAGAATTATTCTAACTTCTTCCTACCCCTTTGAACATGACTGTTATTTGGATCATCTGCTGATGATCTTTTTTGTTGATTGTTTCTTTTTATTTAGTTTTTGTTGTTGTCTTTTAACATGTTCAATAAAGAGTTGGGAAAAAAACATAAACAATGTGTAGCATATTCAAAGGGTCGCCTCATTTTTCTGAACTGAAAACAGACACAGCTGAAATCACATTGAATCATGAATTTACTGTCTGTCCTGATGTGACAGAAACTACCTACACCTACCTAAATCTACAGCACGATAACATCTGATCATTTGTTTAGCAAAACAGCATTTGTAATAAAAAATCCAGAGAGAAATCAAGTAAACAGCGTATGAACTGTACACACGCAAGCCACAGTAGTGTGATTGTAATCTCTGATCCCCACATCTTTAATCCTCATAAATATTGAATTTTTTATGACTTCCTCATTGATGGAGCATGACACCTGGGAAGCCCGCCCCCTGCTAGCTGTACGTACCCACAGGAGGGGGTCGTTCCTGGCAGCAGTCCTTATCTCAGGGAAAGCATCTGAGCCAGCAAAACTGACACAACAGTGAATGCAAACACTAATGTATGTGTAACATATTTTATTTTTGATGAGGCGCTATTTATATAAATCAAATTACCACAGACATGGGAATTGAGCAGCTGAGGATGCACCGATTGAAAGAATGCTGTGTGTGTGTGTGTGTGTGTGTGTGTGTGTGTGTGTGTGTGTTTTTCCTTTTACAATCTGACTGCTGCTTGCCTAGCAGGGACTGTAATGATGGTCGTCAGCACTGGCTGGTTGCTAGGTAACAATTACCTGACTGTGCTTTGCTTGCACTGAATTACACAGTGGGCTGTGTGTGTGTGTGTGTGTGTGTGTGTGTGTGTGTGTGTGTGTGTGGAGGAACGGAAAAATACAGCAAAGTAGACTACCAACCACTGTCTCCACTTCTGGGTAGAAAATGCCCCTTACCAGAGTCACAATCATGGCTATGATAATATTATCTTAGCTGTGTTTCTGAATGTGCTTTACACCTTAAATGTTACTGTTATAGGCTAATTATCACCGTGCTTCGTATTTCTTCGTGACAAATGTGTCAGATGGACTGTTTTTGAATTGTAATCTCTCGGGCTTCATTTTGACAAATGTATTAGCGGCTGCTTAGGTTTAGATTTATTTATTTTAGCATTAGATGCCTGTGTGTTGTTGTCTTTTGGGTCCCAGTGTTTCACAATTATGAGTGTTACATGCTTCAGTATTTATAGTTATGTACATGGGGGTAGGAGGTGGATGTGAAGCTGAGGCTGACAGATGATGATGTCATTACAGGGCCACACCTCAGGACAGATGACCAATACTCGGCTGTAAGACAGTTTTCACTTTCTCAGCTGCTACACTGATGCTCCTGATGGGTCTGTCCTTGTCCTCGACTCCAGTCTCTCAGCAGCCCTTCCTCTAACTCCCAAACCTCAGCCACAGCTGTAACTCTAACTTTAAGGAATAGTTTTGGGGGACATGAGCTTATTTGCTTACTGACAAAGATGAGAAGATTGATACCAATATTATGTCTCTATGAAGCTGAAGCCAGCAGCTAGTTAGCTTAGCTTGGCTTAGCATACAGTCAAAATGTCATTTTTGGTACCTCCTCCAAGATACATGACTTATTAATGAGTGAGTTTTATAAATGCTGGTAGTTGGATTTTGTTTCTTTTGGACAGAACCAACATTGCGGTCTTCCACTATTTACAGTCTACATGCTAAGCTAAGCTAACCGGCTGCTGACTCCAACTAATTATTTACCGTACAAACATAAGAGTTGTATCAATCTTCTCATCTAACTCCCAGCAAAAAAGCGAAAACTATTTCTACCTACTATTAACAAAATAAAAATGATTGAATAATGTAAACCTCTCATCGGTAGGTATTAAGTATTAGAGAACAAAAGTCCACAACAAGAATCAGCAATATTGAAAAATGCAAATACTGCATATACTATATAGGTTTCTAGATCTCAAAGACGCCGTTTCCGTTTTCTTTTCCAGCACTTGACAGTTAGCTTGTCAAGTGCTATAATAGTTAGCAGAGCAATGTCATAGAAGCAGGTTTGTATTTGGATGTCACCTAGTAAAAGCCTTGTTTACATTTCCAAAGAATGTGGTTGAGATGCACATCTTCTGAAGCTGTACCAGACTTGGCTATAAGCTAATTTATTTCTGTAGTGTATGTATCTAACAATGTTGTTGAGGGACATTTGGGTAGAGGCTTAACAGTCTAATATAGCTACATGTCACTCCATATTTAAATTTTTTACTACAACTTTAAATCATGTTATAATTCCCATTAGTTCCAAAGTAAAGGCAGTCAGTACACTGACCGTGCAATCTCAAAGCAGAGCCAGGAGAAACTCTTCCGCTGTGAGCAGGGGCCGACAGGAGGCCATGGCACCTCCCCCAAGAACTGCTTGCCAGCTCTCCCAGACATGGATGATATATTTGGAGATCATTAAATGGTCCTAAATGAGACCCTGGCGTGAGAGCGAGCTCTGACCATCTGGCCCCATTGTGAGCGTCGGGGCTCTGTTCAAACTCAGCCAGCAGCATCAGCACCTCTGACTGGATAGATGCTGAGTAATCCTTGGAGTTGCAGCCAATCAGAGACTCTTTGAAATAATTACCCAAACTCAATCTCTTTATATCTTTCTAAATTAACCATCCTGTTACGTACGTTGTGTATTTCTCTGCTCTACTCAAACTAATATGTTTTATTTCTCTGCTGTTTGCCCCATAACCATCTGATGAAATAGATACCACTAAGCTAATGACATTCCCATTAGCATCAGATGTACATTGTTTTATTGATAATTAGCAAATGTTAGCATGCTAACAAACTAAACTAAGATGGTAAAAATGGTTTGTAATGGTAAACAGTATTTAATAGTAACATTATCTGCTAAACATCAGCATGATTGCATTGTCACAGTGAGCATCTTAGCATGCTGATGTGAGCATTTAGCTTACAGAGCTGCTAGCATGGCTACTTCAACTTCATTATATTTACATGTAAACAAAGTGCAAAACAAATTTATATAATATAATATATTTACAGGAGGACCTCTTGATTTTTCTAATTTGCTAAACAAGGCTGGCACTCTGATCTTTTAGTATCTTTAGTATCAACTGTGCAAGTGGCACAGCCTTCATGACCTTACTTCTGGCCAAAATGGCAGCGTGTAAACAATGAAGAGACAAGCAGGTTTTTCTATGTTTGTTTACTTGAGCTGTTTTTGTCTGTCTGCTGTTTCCAGGTCACAAGCTCAACAAGGACCTGAAGCACTACCTGAGCTTGAGGTTTCAGAAGTCTTCCCCCGACCATGAGCTGCAAAAGACTATCCGAGCCAATCTGTATCGCCATGCTGTGCCTTGTGAGTAAAAACATTAGTAATGACAATAATGTGATGGTGGATGCCTAAATGAGGACGTCTGGCTTAAGAATGGTGTCTTTAACCAGTCTTTAGCATCATTTCTTCATCTTTACCCTAATGACCCACTTTCTTTTGGCTTCTTTCTCATTTGTTTCATCTCCCATTAATCTCATTCTTCCCTCTCACTCACCCATAAATTATTCTGTTACACTTTATTTCCCTTTCATCATTTTAAATCCCCACCAGCTCTGCTTCTAACAAATGATAAGAGAAACAAACATACATTTTCCAAACACCATAACTGTTAGTTCCATATTACCCTCCATTAAAGCCACTCGTGTTTTGACCGCGCCTGAGCACCATTTTTGCAGCTGTCTTGCATAGCTGTGAAATATACAAAAAGTGTGGCTCGAGCCAGACCCAGCTCCGTGCCAGACTCCACAGCTGGGCTCAGTTATGTCACAAACAGTTTGATTTGCGGTTGGGTGACACAATCCAGCTCTTCTCAGTTCATTTTCCTACTGTACTCATGTTTGTGTTAAAAAAGCCTTTTGCTTGAGTTGTGATAACCACACAGGTCATGAGGCTTTAAGTGTTTCAACAAAACGGCACAGTGGATCTATTGAGGATGTGATTAGAGAGAGTGTTTGTGTGTGTTTTCCCCCTGAGGAATTGTTTCATCACACATATGCATAGACATGATTTTGATGAGAGATCTTTCTCATCAAACACCATTTCCTTCTGTTTCTGCGGACTGGGGCTTGGCTGTGCGCGTTCATTTACATCTGTTTGCATTACAATATTAAGGAGCACTAATAAAATGTGGCTTCTAGACTAGATTTGTGTATTTTTATAAATCTCTGTGTCTCTGTTCTTTGCCGTTTCACTCTCTTCCTGTCTCTCCTGCTGTCTGTCCTTCTCTTGAGCTCAGCCATGTGACCGGCAAATCCGACTCTCTGAGCTTCCCTCAGTGCGCTGCCTGGGATTATGATGTTCTGATATATTGAAAATAGATTCCTGCCTGATTATGTGATGAACATGTTGCTGTCTGTCCTTTAAAATTAAACATAAAGAAAATAAAAATGCTAAATACTTCGTAAGGCATTTTGTAAGGCAGTCTGATGGATCAGATGATGATTAAAGGTATTACATTTTCTTTCTTTAACAAATATTGAAATAGAAATGTTGATACATTTACCTCTTAATGACTCTAAAAGTCCCATAACTAAAATTTTCATACTGCAGACTTTGACCTCTGAATACCTTAAAATGAATATCGCACTGGGTGCTTTCACCTCTTTATTTCTAAAAAATCTTTAAAATAATACCTGATACATTTGCCTCGTCATGCCTCTAAAAGTCCTTAACATGATTTAAATCCAAGAAGAACCACACCTAGGCCATAATCTGTAATGAGTGCAAGTTGTGTTATAGTGGACTGGTGTAAACCTTAAATTGGAAATGTTAAAGCTTCAGTATGCTTCTAATGAACTTGAATGAAGTTCATTGGCCCCAACTTTCCTGAGAAGCTGAAGTTAGTGTTGGGCAATAAACTTTCGATCAGTTAGATGTGAGATTATAGATAGGAGGAACAATATGTAGCTCATGGAATCAGTTTCATTCAGAGCTTTATTATAATGTTCTTTCTGCTCATCTTATGATAAAAGAGCCTCATTATTTTCAGATCTGCTGTTTTTTTACTCTGCTTTGTTGTAATGAAATGTGTTGATAAAGTACTGATAAATGTCCAAATGTGCATAAAAAAATGTACAGAGCTACATTAGCTCTTGGTACAATACTGCAGCTATTTTGACCGTTAACAAGACTTCAAGTCTCCAGCAATGCTAGCGGCTTTGTGAGGCTGTACTTTACACACAGCGGTGCTTTGAGCTTTGAACAAATTTTGACCCGATGAAAGCGCTAGAAGAAAAGTCAAGGGATCACCAAAGTTATTACAATTCATCCTGTAGGAAACATAAATGTCTGTATAAAATTTTATGGCAATCCACCCAAGAACAAGGAAAAAACTCCACAAAACTACTGTTTCAGTATTTGTGTACAATTTTGAGTTACTTGTATTTTACCTTAGTATTACTACATTTATTTGAGAGCTATAGTTTACTTTACAGATTGGGATGTTGGATACAAAACATCTTTTCAAATGTGATGCATTGTGATAGAATAACCACCACTACCCAACAGTGTTTAAAGTTGTTTAAATTTAGCTTCAGCTGGACCAGCTACAACATTAAAATGCTGTTTAGATGTTAGTGCAAAATAATGATCCTAACAGAATACTGACAGAGACCATTCTGTAATAATGAGTACTTGTGATACTTCTGGTACATTTTGCTGCTAATACGTCTGTACATTTATTAAAATTTGTTAGTAAAATTCTGAATGCAGAACTTTTACTTGTAGTGGAGTATTTTTACAGAGTTCTGCTGCTATTTTCATTTAAATAAAAGATCTGATTATTTCTTCCATGTCTTTGTTTCCTCAATGCAATTCATGATGAGTGGTTTAGAAGCAAACAACAGCAGTTACCTGTGGTGCAAGTAGGTGCTTGAAGACTAAACAGAGTATAATGTATAGACCGCTTGAAATCCGGGGATTTCAAGCTGGGATTGGGCATTAATGGAGCAGCAAGGTTGTTCCTGGGAGGAGAAATACTACATAAACATGTTGGATACTCAGTCGTTCAGTATTGCATTTTGACTGAAGCATAAAGCAAAACTTCTGTTGCTTAGACTCACGGTCACCTGAATACATCCATGCATTCATGAAAGGAAGTGCCCCTGATTACTCATTAATTGGAAATGTTACACTTTTTTCTGGGTTGCAACTCAAAATAAAAGGGTCCAGTGTCTCTAGTGAATGGACTCTGCCCACTCTGTAGTTGTAGTGATGAACAATTAAACAATAAGGGTGGTGTTATTATATATTTTTCATCAACAAATCCCATAAAAAGACCAAAACCAATACAATTGTTGGGGACTATTTTCAGACATGTACTAGTGAGTATTTACAGCAGCAGGATGGTGTATGTGGGATCGACTTAAAATAAACTACAGTGCCTGCATTCATGTTGATAATGGAACATGTCACCCAGTGAAACAGTGTGGCCCACTAAAGCAGTGTAGGGCTATGGCACAGAGGGATGAGATATTTAAGGCTTTGGCTACACAGACAGTACCTTCGAGTAGAATAAAGTCTTTGTTGTTTTTGTCTTTTCATGGGATTTGTTGACAATAAGCAAAATATGTAATATCATCAGAAATATTCTGTTTGAGGCTTAATATTTACTTTTCTTCTTTTTTTCTGATTTGTGTATTTGTCTGATCTTTTTTTTTCCTGGTAATGACTGAAAAATTGGAAAAAAATGGGCCACAACACAATGCTCATCAGTCTTAACACTTGTTTATACTGTTCACCCCTCCTCTCTCTATGTTGTTCTTCCTGTCCCTCCCTCTCTCCCTTTCTTGGTGACCTACTATCGCTGCCACCTCCTGTTTATTGTATCTCTCTCTCTCTCTCTCTCTCTCACTCACTCACTCACTCACTCACTCACTCACTCACACACACACACACACACACACACACACACACACACACACAGATGCAAATATTTTCTTGGCATGACAAGGCAGACAAAAGCAATCAAATAAAAGCCACACTTCGCAGCCCTCTGCTCCCTTTGTCTCTGTGTCTCTCGTATCTCCTCCCCCTCTACTGAGCACATGTGTTGCTCCCTCTCCCCATGCTTGACTCGAACAGGTGCCTTTCCCCTCCACCACTGACCAACGTGGGGTGTTTTCTTTCTCTGTTGAGCATGTGTGCGAGTGTATGTTTATAAGAACACTAGCCACCCCCCCCTTCATAGCCCCGCTGCTACAGATGGCCATTGTTATCACGTGCAGCAAATGTCACAATTGATAGAGAAGTCTCTCTCTCGTGGGATTCATTTCCCTCTCACATCTACAGCTGCTGCTTGGGGATGAGGGTTATCTCGGCGTTATCCCAGGGTTTGAGCCACGGAGCGAACCAATCCTCCTCCCTCCCCCCACCTGATCTCTCCCTCCCTCTCTCTCTGCTCTCTTCTCTGTCGTCCTCCTCTCTTCACTTTAAATCCTCCAGTGAGTGTCAGCGTCCCTGTGGCTCAGCTGCCTTCCTCTATCTCTCTCTTGTCACACTCTAGCTGCTCCCACCGTCTCCCTGCCTCTTCTGCTCTCACCGTCCATCTCCCCTCTCTCTCTCTCTCTCTCTCTTTTTTCTCCCTCCCCTCCTTGCTTCCTTGTTTTCCACTCCACTGCCGATCTCGGGGAAATCATTGTTGGAGACAAATTTCTCTGTTTGCCGTTCACACAAAGAAAGGGATTACGGTTTGATTTGCTGGCTCCGGGCTCGCTCTGCATCCAGGCAAGTGGCAGCTCCTTATTCTCTCCTCCTTCTCTCCTTCTTCTTTTTCCATTCTCACCGCCATCCGCCATCCAAAGACTGTGATGTATGCATGGCAGAGAGTGTATGTGCGGTTGATGCTGTGTATATAGGCTAAGGGAATCAGGGAAGGTGGGGGTAGGGGTGGGAATTATGTGAGGGAAAGAGGGGGGCAGGCACACTCGGAGCAGGCACGTCCAACCCAGAGGGACAGATGGCCAGTAGCCCTGGTGCTTTTTCCTCTTTGGTTTTCTAATTCACCCTGCAGGCTTTGTGTAAGGCCCACTAGTACACAGACCTTCTTTTCAACAAGCAAGAGATGGCTGCACTCCTGAGGTAGAAGAGGGAGGGAGAGGGGGGTATCTGTGTGTGAAGAACGGACAGGGTATAGGAAAAGGAGAGAGGAAGGAGGAGGGGGGGGGGTTGCTGTAGAGACAGAGCAGGTTTTTACGAGGAGGTTAGGATAGGAGAGGAGAAGAGATGAGAGGGAGCTGAGAAGGGGGGGTCATCGGCCTGAAATGCATGGGGGTCAGGTCCAGATGCTGCTCAAACAAAAGGGCTTC